AATCAAGCTCTGCCTCCGCCTAGCCCTCAGCCTGCCGACAGCCTCTGGACCCTCAAGGTTCCCCCCCTCAGCTGCTCAGTTCAACTCCAGAACAGGTACTGCCCAGCACGCTCTCATGCTGCTAAATACATGGACCTCCACTAACTCCTCTGTCCCCCTCTGCAGTGAACCCACTCGTGACCAAACGAGTTCCCCTCTGGACCTGTTCATTTATTGTGTTCAAACTTCTCAATAAATCTTTGAACTTTTCTCCTGCCTCTGAGTGTTCTGCATGTGGGTTAGACACCTTAAACCAAACATGACAGATTCAGTTGCAATGTTTTTTTTATTTAACACAGAGTATATAAATTAATTATTCAATCATGGTCAGATTGTACTGTATTTATTTTAAAACCTGATACAGTACCTTGCATTCAGCGCTTTGTCTAGGCTGACCTTTTAGTCACTATTCCTCAAACATCAGTCATTTTTTTGGAACTTTTATTTCTCTTCTCATGCTGTGATAACTATTCAATTTCACTGCTAAAAAAAATAAAAAAAAAAAATAAAGGAAACACTGAAATAACACAACCTAGATCTGAATAAATGAAATATTATCATTAAATACTTTGTTCTTTACAAAGTTTAATACGCTGACAACAAATTCACCCAAAAATCATCTTTGGAAATGAAATTTATGTACCAATGGAGGCCTGGATGTGGAGTCACACACAAAGTTAAAGTGGAAAGACACTACAGACTGATCCAGCTTTGATGTAATGTATTTAAAACTGGTCAGAATGAGGCTCAGTGTTTTGTGCGGCCTCCACGGCGCCTCAATGACCCCCCTACAATGCCTGGGCTGCTCCTGATGAGGAGGTGGATGGTCTATTTAGGGATCTCCTCACAGATCTGGACTAAAGCACCCTCCACCTCCTGGACAGTCTGTGATGCAATTTGACATTGGTGGATGGATCCAGACATGATGTTCCAGATGTTCTCTATGGGATTCAAGTCTGTGTAAAGGGGGGCCATTCCATAGCTCCAATGCCTTCCTCTTGCAGGAACTGCTGACACACTCCAGCCACATGAGGTCTAGCATTGTCCTGCATTAGGAGGAACCCAGGGCCAACTACACCAGCATATGGCCTCACCAGCGGTCTGAGGATCTAATCTCTGTACCCAATGGCAGTCATGCAACCTCTGGCGGTCTCATGGAGGGCTATGCTGCCAAAATAGCACCTTATATCATTACTGACCCACTGCCAAACCGCTCATGCTGATAGATGTAGCAGGCAGCAGATCGTTCTCCACTGTGTCTCCAGACTCAGTCATGTCTTAACAAGTGCTCTGTATGAACCTGCTTTCATCTTTGAGGAGCACAGGGCACCAGCAGTAGTTCCACTGGTGTTTTCTGGCAAATGCAAGGTGTCCTGCACGATGTTGGCCTGTGAGCACAACCTCCATCTTTGGGCATGGGGCCCT